GGGGGGGGGGTTCTGCCCACATTCCCTGTCAACTCTAAAAGGGGCTACAACGAAAAGGGGGCTCTAGCTCCTTGCATTCACCGGAACCATGCCAAGCCAACGGGACCTCGTCCTAATCCGATATGGGCTGGGCTGTGGGGACTGTGACTTGTAGCTGTGGGGGCATATTGGGGCGCAACGGGAGTGGGTGTACTTACTGGGGGGTTCATACCCTCATTTCAGGATAGGTGTGTAGCTTCTTTACCATTTGAACCCATGTGGTTTTGGTTCAGGTGCGTCTCCAACGTACGAGGTGATGATAGTAAGGTAGCAAAGTACCCACGAATCAGAAACACAAGAGCGACAGACAAACAAGCAAAGGATTCACAACCAGGAACATTACCTTGGACTCGTCACAAATGCCCATATAGCCTTTTGGCCACAGTTATGTTCTGGATAAGCGAATGTAGGGCTGACAGCCGAGGCAGGACAATATGAGGTATCTCCTCTGCGGTAGAGTAGATGTACTGCTTTCGAGTCGAAAGCACCTTCGGAGGTAATTACTTTGTAGGCAAAGCAAGTCGTCCAAGATTGAGAGAAATTGATAATTAGAATGGTTAAAGAACACTAGGCACATCGTGTTAGTTCAACGAATCGCTGCCGGGCTCTTCGTGAAGCTATCTGACGTTGGTCGATCATCTCGAATCATGCAGTTTGAGGTAGTCGGCACGAGCGTGTACAAGATCGCTCAGCCCCGCGTCTCTCCCATCTCGAGTCGCCGTCTATTTACTCAGCTCTTGCGCTTCATGCGGGACTCATGCGGGAGTCGGATAGGACGGCTTTTGTTTCCCATTTAACGCGGGCAAGCGGCGAAGGAAGGAGCAGGAGCCTAACCAGTCGTCAGTGACCCGATGACGGGAGCCCGCGGCTGTCAGTCAGTTAAGGATGATGCAATACCTATATGATGCATAGGTACGGTTCGCAGACACCAGAGGTGAACTGTGATTTGAAACGCATATCCTAAGTATCAGAACGCGAGTCGATATCTAACCGCAAACTGCGGCGCTGTGAAAACACCCCAAGGAAGGGACGTCATATGGGTTAATAATGCGACCCTCCCGCCACGCAGAGAAGCAATAGGCACGGGTATGTAATCATGTAATACCCATCCCTTCGCGACCCCTACTCACTCGCGCGGCTCGGCTCGGTGTTGGGACTTGTCCGTCACGGATGGTCGCAACAATCATGATCCATTGAGCCTTGGCCTACCCCGAGAAAGAATATCATGAAGAGGCAAAGACCATCCATGGCCCGACTGCCAGACCGTTGACTTGCAGCGACCACGGAAGTCTTTTGTGGAACACAAACGTGGTTGTGTATCGTCGGACGTTGTATGGCCGGTAGGAAGTCCCATAATTTCGCAGAATCTGCCCTCTTTACCCCTCTCTCAGCCCCTCCATCGGGGTTTTGTGTTATTGTCGTGCGAAGACCCCGATACCAGATTCCAGATTCCAGGGTCAGTTGGGTGGCTGTCGTGTGTTTACCTCTTGCAGCGGCAGAGGAGAAGAAAAAAGGCTCTGCGTCATGATCAGCAAAGCCCCCTTCGCACATGTCGTGCGATATTTGCCGCACTTAATCTTGATGGGCTGGTAATTTAGGCTCCGCTCTCATTTTCCCGGACCTCTTGTGGCTTGGGACCTCCTTGCCCTAGCCGTCGGATCCTTGTGAGGTCCGAAAATTGACCTGGGCACTGCATACTTGGCGCGCCAGGTGTGGCAAGGCAGATTTACAGGGGAAGTCGCTCGGAGGAACTCCACTCCACGCGGCGGCCCACGTCCGGCAGACGGCGTATCGCCCTCCCCTGCACCGAGGAACAAAATCTTATGTACCGGGAAGTGGGCGGGCGAGGTTGGGCTGGGGCAAGACTCTAAATAGGTTAGCATTTAGCAATGTTGAATACCTTAAAGGATAGACTTGCTATAAAAGCCACTCCATTACCTGCTAACCGAAGCGAGGGAGATATATCTGGTACATTTGAGGAATGGGGGGGGGGGGATTATGTCCGTGTGGGTTACTACGGCGGCTTAAGCGTTTCCAAAAGGGAAATGCCCGAGTTAGATAAAGAAGCATTGCAGCACAGCGTATGTATGCTACTGCATGGAGACGGAGTGAAGATTGGTCATCAATACCTTTGCTGCTTTAACCCCGACGAAAGGCATTTATATCGGCAGGGGCATAAGCAGGTGACATGGCATCTGGTTTGGAGAAACCTACGATGGTGGTTTTGACAATTTTGTCGTCGCACCTGCTGGTAGTACCAGGGAGAGGACAGGCCCAGCGGGGTAGTGGCGGTCGGGTTACTACCTTATGTTTCAAGGTAGTGAGGACCTCGTAAGGAGATGAGACGTGGGGATGATGTCGACTACAGGTACCTAAGGTAGAGGTACCTTACAGAAGGGAGGTAAATATCGACTACCTTACCTTCCCCGCAGTGGTATATCATAGTAGAAATACTGGGCGATATATACGTGTTTTTAGCTCCCTCGAGGTACCTGACCTTTGGTAGACCGAAACCACGGCATGATAGTAGGTCATGGTAGGCTCTCTTCCATGTGCTGAGCTGAACAGCCGAAAAGGAGCCGACCCGAGGGTTTACACGTATATCGTAGCTATCCGAAGAGCTCTTTCGTACCGATCTTTGCCTTCCTGTACAGAGAGAATTTAACAATGCGCGCTACAGCTTTAGCGAGTTACTGTTCCTGTGATAGTTGCTGCAGTCAGCTACAGCGGTGTCTATAAAAAGGTGACAAAAGGGCAGGATGAGGACAGCCACAGCAGTCACTTTCCCACGTTCACTAGCGTGGGTCTTGGCATCCGTGTGAATACCATGTGGTGACTGGCAGGATGCACTATCGTCATGCAGTGAGCAGTTTACCTCGACCATGACATGGAGAGAGGTGCAGCTGGTGCAGCCGGTGTAATGGCGGTGGCATGCGTCAGTAGCTTCATCGAAGACAAGATGGGCTGGCGGGCCGGTTTTGTTGTTTTAGAGTTGCCACCGAACTGCCACGTGTGATCAAAGGGCAGTCAGTCGGTATGCGGGTATCGGGCTCGTGGTTAAAGACCGGGAAGCGAGAACAGAGAGATGGTGGGTGATGACGAGCATACGAAGGAGTAGATCCAATGAGCAAGACCACGTCGATCAAATAGCCACCCTCGACCACGTTCTGGGGCTGCAGTATGCATATATTTCGTGTGTGTTCGCCACACCATCTCGAAGGAGGTACACGGGAAACGGCCATTCCCTTCTGTTCTTGTCGTGGTCGAACGAGGTGCAGGAGGCAAAATGTTGCGAAGAACAGGGGGCGTACGCAGCTAGGGTTACGGTTTCTGGGCGGCATCCAATGACCAGATACAAATGGGGTTCGAGCTCCCACACTGTAGTGGGGAGGCCCAGAACCGAACCAAGTGGGGGATGAGGCAACCGGGATTTCATACGTATCGAGGGTTGACCCGCCAGTGAAGCACGGACCAGATCTTGTTGAGTGCCGCCCGCCCCCTCCCACCTGATCGGGAGGCTCCTGAATAGGGGGGTTCAAAGAGCACCCCGAGAATTGGTGAATGGTGGGTCTTTACTCTTTTCTGGATCACAAGAGAAGATGAACATGAATATGATAGAGCTCTCCTTTCTCCCAGAAAATCCACGAAGTACATACGAAATCTACGGATGCTGAAGTTGTCTTGACGGTTGGCTCTCATACGGAGCTCGAGTTATGTATGCGAGAATATGGCATCAGAACTAACTACCTTATGTGACCCTAGGCACCGGGGAGACAATTCCTGTGAAGCTATCGCGGCAGTTCAATGGTACATAGGTAGATATGATGGTCCGTCATGGAGGCAAGTCGAAACAAAGCGCTTCTACCGAGTTAATACCTAAGGGAGAGGGAATTACGGCAAAAATGAAGTGCCGTGGCACTGTTCGGGTCTATTACAATACGACGGTAGCATGCAGAACTGTCAGACCGCTAGAATCATATATTCGTACTTCGTATAGTAGCACCCCTATGCTTCTCCTCCTCCCCCTACCTTACCTACGAATAGTTGGCCCCGTTCCAACCGCGACTCTATGCTTTGCGTCTTACTCCGCTCCTGCCCTTGGTTACAAGCACCTTGAAACCGCTACCTTTAGGTAACGCCCGCAGTGGGTATGATAGATAACTAGACATCAAAGTATAATAGCATGTCCTGGTTTTGGGACGATAGTCGAAGCCGATTCCTTAGCATAGGTAGATAGGGCAGGCAGTTTGTGTGAAAGTGTGAAAGTGTGAAAGTAGGTCAATAATAAACTTAGAGGCCTGCGGGGCTTTAGCTTGTCCAGAGAATTTGAAGTCTTGGGTCGAAAACCGGCAGAAGCAGCTCGGTATCTTAAAAGCGTTACTGGAGCATAGGCCGAAACCGCTAGTGGCTTGTCCTCTTGGTCTTGTTACCAGTGGTCACGGACAACTGCTCCGTACACATTAAAGACCTGTGATGGACGGCCAGATTTCTTGAGGTGCCCTACGGGCTATGATCCATTGTAGCAAAGTAAACACCCCCCGCCTGCCCCATCTATCTACCGCTTCCACCTATGATTAGCCACGACGTCAAATCTCAATCAAGCATGAGGGGGAATTTAAATCGACTTCTACTGATTGTTGTCGGATCTTTCCAGTCTGTCTGCCTAGGTACATATGTGGCTGAGGCCTAGAGCTACTTAGCCCTGGAAAAGAGGCCCTTAAGGGGAAAGTGCGTACACTAAACATTAGACACAAGACACTTATATTGCGATGGGATTGTGATTCGTAGTCTCGTCACTGACGAGGAACGACGGAAACCCCACCGGAGATCACATAAAGAGGCAGGACGAAGGTAGACAGGAAGGAAGAGATACGGAATTAGGGCCAATGGTCATGAAGTGTGCAGGGGCTGCGATGTTGTCTGCGAAGCATTGAGCGGACGGGGGAGAGACGAGCATGTGTTGAGCACAGCTTGTTTGAAATTATCTCGCCCGAAAAGCCGGATTGACCAAACAAACGAAATCCAGTCAGCTCACAAATAAAAAGTTGGCCGTTCCCAATACAGTCCTGACGCGTAATTAATTACATGGATATCAACCAAACTGCAGGAAATTAGTGCCCTCAACAAACTCCACGGGGACTCAATTAACCAGTATATCCGCTACTCCTTCCTTACCTTTATATGCTCACTAGTACCATGTCCTGTTTTGCAAAGAAATTAACGGGGCTTACATAAACAGGACATCACGCCGCGTCTGGGAAATTGTGGGTCGTTAAGTAAACCAATAACCTTGCAGGGGCGGGCGCGAAGAAAAAAAAAGAAAGAAAAAAAAAGTCACTCCGTACTATCAACATATCGAACCAATCCTCACATCACCAACTTGAGAGAAACACCTGCAATTTTCTTTCCGAGTGTCTTCTATAGTTGAATTATTCCAGTTCACTCTAGTTACGAGAGGCATGACAGGTGTATAGGTGCAGAAATCTGAGCAGCGCGAATAGTCGAGTACCTGCGACTTGCTCACTGTTCTGACAGTCCCTCTGTCACGCACCTATATATTTTCATCTTCCTCTTGGTATTCTTCTCCTTATTATTACCTTACTTCTCAACTTTCATCGCATACTATGTTTTCAGTCAAAGGCTGGTCAGTCTCGGCTGAGAATCTCAAACTTGAAAAGCAGGCGAAAAAGAAAGACGACGCGGAGACGAAGTCGCATAAGAAGCGTAAGAGAACTGCTCATAATACGAATGTGACGGACGCCAACATTGCCGACCTATGGGAGTCGGTAATCGAAGGAAAAAAGCCCGTCAACAAAAAAGCCAACGACAAGAAACCACGAGGTCGAGCTCGGGATGGCAGAGAAAAGAAAGGCGGTGACGACACAGCAGCCGACACTTCGTCGGTTCCTACCGGCCTGGCTCCTGATGTAGGCACCAATGGTGACCAAGGCGATGAGGATTCTTGGGATGGAATCAATGACCAGGATGAGACAAGTCCAAAAAAACCAGGCTCCGAAGAGCAGCCTCCGCCCAAGAAATTAAAAACGGAGAAGCAACAGAAACAAAACGGCAAAGACAAACCCAAGAACCGCAAACTCGAGAAGGATGCCAAGGCAAAACCCGGAGACCGGGCTACGACAACGTCGGGGGATAAGCCTCAGTCTGATCCTAGCCATGACGAGCATGATGCCCCCTCTACCAAGCCCAAAGAAGCGACCTCAGTGTCGCCGGCGGCGGCAAAATATGCCGCATTGTCTACCGCGCCTCCTTTGCCTCCCCCCGCGGCCAAGCTCACGCCCCTTCAGGCCTCCATGCGCGCGAAGCTCGTTTCCGCGCGTTTCCGTCACCTCAACGAGACCCTGTACACCCGCCCCTCGGCCGAGGCCCTCCGCCTCTTCGAAGAGAGCCCAGAGATGTTCTCCGAGTACCACGAGGGATTCCGACGACAAGTCGAGGTGTGGCCAGAGAACCCCGTCGACGGCTACATCCGCGACATCAGGCTCCGGGCAAAGCAGCAGCCGTATCCCCCCAAAGGCAAGAAACCAGGTAACCATCAGAACGGAGCCGGGGCCAGCGACCTGCTGCCCGCCCTGCCGCACACCGACCGCGTCACGACCATCGCCGACCTAGGCTGCGGCGACGCCCGCCTCGCCGCCACCCTCCTCCCCGAAGCCCGCAAACTCCGCCTCGCCATCCACAGCTTCGACCTGCACAACCCCAGCCCGCACGTCACGCGAGCCGACATCGCCAACCTCCCGCTCGCCAACGGCGCCGTCGACATCGCCATCTTCTGCCTCGCCCTCATGGGCACCAACTGGCTCGACTTCGTCGAGGAAGCCTACCGCATCCTCCGCTGGAAGGGCGAGCTCTGGGTCGCCGAGATCAAGTCCCGCTTCGGCAACCCCGCCGCCGCCCAGAAGGGGCAGAAGGGGCAGCGACCCGGTGGTCCCGTCAGCCACAGCGTCGGCGCCCGCAAGAAGAAGCTGCAGCTGCCCGCCAAGAAAGGCGGCGATCCTGAAGGTGGTCCTGCCACCGACACCGACCGGCAGGACCTCGCCGTTGAGGTGGACGGCGCCGAGGATAGGCGCCGCGAGACCGATGTGTCCGCGTTCGTCGAGGCGCTTCTCAAGCGGGGGTTCGTTCTCCACGGGGAGCCGGACATGTCGAACAAGATGTTCGTCAGGATGCTCTTCGTCAAGGCTGCGCCGCCCACCAAAGGGAAGTGCGTTGTTCCGGCCGACGCGGCCAAGGAGGCGGCTGCCAGGAATAAGAAACAGAAAAGGTTCGTCTGGGAGGAGCAGGGTGCCGATGGTGTGGATGAAGGTAGCATCTTGAAGCCGTGTGTCTACAAGCTGCGTTAGGTGTTTGTTTCACAAGACTGGGGTCCGATGGGAAAAGTTGTGGTTTGTTGGTTAGGGGCAAGGGCTGATAGCTGTAAAAAGTCTATAAAATGCGAATTTGCTTATGCACAGGAAAATGACTTGGGATCTCGCGCTGGCATTAAGTCGGCTTGGAACGTCTTCTGTTGCGAATTATATCATATAATAGTGTGGACGATATACTGCGATGGGAGAAAAAGCTGGACGTCATATTGAAAATTGTTAAGGTGGTGAGATTAAGTATCATGAACGCTAACCGTTGGCCGAGTGCGCCCGTCCTAATCTCAAAGTCGTCGCGACGTGGTCTCTCTAGAAAGCTCCTTTATGCTTTTTTTTTTGTTTGTTATTTCGGTTCGTGTCTCTAGCCAAACTGTCACTTGCTCCTTCGCAACGAAGAGAGGCCTCCAAGAAAGATGTGCCTCCAGCAAATTCGTCTAGACCTTTGCTTGTCCGCTGCTCTGTCGGTCCGAGGGTGAAGTCAAGTGAGATCAGGCCCCAAACAGTAAGCCCGCCGCAAATTCGACGTTGCCGCCCGTGGCCTGGAGCGCATCAATGGCTGCCTGGCGGGGAAAGCCCAAGTCCATGAGCTGCTTGATCGACTCCTCGGGGAAGCTGGGTGCCGCCGGCTGGGATGTTACCGGTGCCGTGGATGTAGCGGACGGAGGCGCTGCAGCAGCCGGTGTGCCCTGGCTGCTTGACTGTTGCGGCGCATCGTCCGGCCCTGACACGACACCTGACCGTTGGCCGATGGTGGTTCCAGCTGGGCCGGGTAGCCTGGGTTCCTGCTCGAGAGCTTCCTCGCTCTCCTTGGGAATGTCGGCCTCACCCAGGAAGGGAATCTCGATACCCTGTATGATCAGTTTATCCTTGGCCAAATCCAAGCAAGCTTGATGCCGTTTCAACATGTCCAAGCCCAGGAGAAGATCTACCGATTTCCCCTCCATGACGGTGAAGCTGCAGGGCAGGTATAGTGTGCCGATCTTGATCGGGGCGGAGTGTACGCGGCCGATGATGTTTGCAGTGCCTACACCTCGAGCGACGCCTGCAAATCGCTTGTCCACTAGACGCATGATCCCACAGGCCTCGGCACATGAGGGAGACATGATAGTGGCCTGAGCGCCTGAGTCTACCAAGGCCTTCACCTTGTGATTATTGACCTCGACGTCGACATAGAGCATGTGCACCCGGCCGAAAACTGGAGAAATGAACAGCTGGTTAGCAGGAAATTGGTTTCACCTTGGGAAGGCAGGTGATATAAGCCCCTCACCTTCAGGGTTATGCTCCATCGCATTTTGCAGGTTCTCCATAACGCGCTCCTGGCGGATCATCTCCTCAATCTTTTGCTGGGCCTCTATATCGAAAGGATCCTCATTCAAGCGGGCTATTTCCCTCTGACGGGCCTCGCGCTCCCTCTGCTCTCGCTCGAGACTATCGTTGAACATTTGGGCGAACCTCTGGGGATCATCGAGTACGGCGGCGAGCTGGGGCTGCTGCTGCTGAGCTTGAGCGCGCAGTCTAGGGTCACCGAGAATACGGAGCCTGATAAGTTCAGGGTCCTGACCGGAAGGGCCTGGGTTACTTCGCTGCTGTCCACCCCCTGCTCTCCTCGATTGGTCGGGCCGGCCGGCAGAGGCTCGCACATTTCTGACATGGACGGCCAGCATATCGTTATCGGAGATGCCCAGCTCGGCCATTGTCTTCGCGTCTTGGTCGGCAGCAATCAAGTTGCCGTTGTGATAAAGGTGTTGGGAGGTGGGAGCAATTTGGGTCTCGGCCTGGACGGACTCTCGCAGGGTGGACAAGGGCATGTCCGGAAAGACTTCAAGCGTGAGGATGTCATCCTGATCTGATGACTCCAGGTTGGTTATACTTAGTGTGATACGCCTGGAACACGGAAGAAGTCAGTTGGAAGCCTTGCCAGATAGTAGGGGTGCCGCGGATCAGAGAAAGGAAGTGTCAAGCTCACATCTCGGGGGAAGTCCGTCTGCCGTTCGTTGGTTATTCCGATGGGTCCGTCCGTCCTGTGTGGTTGGTGACAAGGATTACCGGTATTCTCCTAGCGGCCAGGTAGACAGGAATGACGCAATCAGCGATGGTTTTCCAGCAAGATGTAACACGATCGCGATGGATGTCGCACAAAGAGAAGACCGTCGATGGAAGGCGAGGCGTCGAAGAGACCAAAAAAATTGGAAGAACAGAGGAGACTGTGAATCCGGGGGATGTCGGGGGAAAGGATGCAGCAGTCGATGTACGATGTACGAAGTAGTGCGCGACGTTTTCTGTGGGAAAAGATGGGCTTAAGTCCGGACCCTATTCTGGATGGGCGGCGGCGAGCTGGAGCGGGACGATGCAGCGGGCCCCCCTCGTCGATATGCGGCTGGCGGGTTGGCGGGGAAGGGGAAGGGGGTGTGCAAGACGGCTGCTGGCTGTATAAATATATATACAGTGGAACAGTGAATGCAATTTTGTGGAATATTGGCACTAAGTCCACATTCAAAGACGGAAAGGGGTGGGAGAGGTTAAAAAGAAAAGCGAAGGGGTTTCCGAGGGATGAGAGAATGGAAGTGGTCGGCAGGTGAGGACTCAAGGAGCTCGAGTTCCGTCATACCTTAGGCTTAGGGGAGGAATAATACGTGAGTAAGATACGGAATTCGTGTGTCGCTGCCATGGAGGCCGCTTTCTGATTCCTCCAAATTCTCCGTCACGTGCAGCGTTGTGGCTCGTGCATACCCCACTCCGACGTACCTGACATGAGATATCAAAGTACCTCGCGACACCCAAACTTGTTCCCTTCCCTCTGCATAGTTATACTTAAACCTTCTCCTTTTCCGCCGGAGGTCCTCCGGGCTACACTATCCGAAGTCGGCCCCAGACTCTCTACTAGTCTTCGGACCGGGCCCCCTTCTATATACAAATATCGGCGGTCAATATCCGGCCTCTTTTCTTAGCCCGAACAGTGACTCCTTCGGGATCAAGGTCGTCGACGTCCTTTCACGTGACCTCCAACCACATGTCTCTGACACTGGACCTGGCCCGCATCCGCGGTCTCTTGGACGAGAATGGAGATTTACAAAACATCGAGAGACTTCTGAGTACCTTCCCATCCGACTTCAGTGGCAGGAAGGGTATGTTCTACTTCACCGTAGACTATAACATGGCCGTGTACTTTGCATCCTATGCCAAACGCAGGGCAAATTGCGAAGCCGAGGTCATTGTATGCATTGCTAGTCCTATCCAAGCAATTGAGTCTGAGGGAACCTGATATTCAAAGGATCTGTAAAGTCCCGAATGGCAGGCGCTTGTCTGGTTGTCACGAAACGGGAAGCGCCTAACCAGGTCTCTACGCAACAGCGTTGCTCTTCGATCAGTTCCATCAATTTAATTCAATCAATCAGTCAATCAATTTAGGCGTCTTTTTTCATGAATTCAATCAGTTAATTTACACCCTCGGAATTGAGACACTAATTAACTTCGTGATAGTAGACAGAATAAGTATTAATTCGCCTCCGGACTAATAGGATTTTATTTTTATTTTTATTTTTATTTTCAGGGGAACAAAGTCTTCAATCAACACTACTTACTCTACAATATCTGCCACCCTCTTTAATTTACAGTCTCCTAACCTCTTAAATCCATAGTATCTACCGACCTCTTCCATCTATTGATCTTCCGACCTCTTCTATCCATAATCTTTCGACCTCTCCTATCTACAGTCTTCCAACCTCTTCCAAGATCGAGGATATCGCCCAAAACACTTAAAGCTATTCAGAGTCTCAAGAGCTGGCTGCGGCAGGACCTAGTAACTGTTAGTAGTTCGAGGGTCCGAGGGGCTAATAATAGGTATGTCTATGATCTGGGAATAGCTTCACTTATGGGCAGCTACGAACAGGGGTAGGCGAACCAATTCAGTCAATTAATTAGCAATCAATTAACTTCACAGCGCCGAATCTAATCATCAATCAATTCTATACCCTCGAATTAATTTCATTTATTTTCATCTCCAATGCCATTTCGTGAAGCGAGTTGTACTCCGTGCAGGAAATTGGACAATTGGGCAGGACGCACTGCTGTACGTAGCAAGCTACTGTTATCACAAATGCGATGAATGTCGACGCTCATGATTTGGATTGGTCATGATTAGTGGCATTGACTTGATCGTTGGACAAGCACACAGCACAGGGCAAGGAAAGCATGAGCTCATCTAGATGCCGCGGGCTAACTAATTATACGCACACAGATCCAGACGTTGGCCCAAAGGTCGCGACAGTCAGAGCCGCCGACGTCGTTCCAGGTGATAAGCTGCGCGAGCGTAATGCCAAGTTGCGAGACAATATCGTCACAGATATCGTCGACCTCGACGAAGTAGAACCTATCGCAGTTGCTGACCATACCGGGCTGGGTAGGCTGAGGAGTGGCGATGCCATTGTCAGGGGTCGTTGTCGTCGTCGGCGTCGTCTCGATCACACCGACACAGACATGGACATTGGCCCAGAGCCCTTCGCAGGTAGCAACCCCGCCGACGGTGGGGTTCCAGGTGATGAATTGGGCGAGCGAGATGTCGTGCGCCGAGGCGATATCGGCACAGGTGTCATCAGTCTGGACAAAGTAGAACCGATTGCAGTCGTCTACCATTCCGGGCTGGGTAGGCTGAGGAGTGGTAATGCCATTGCCCGGAGGAGGCGTCGTCGTTGTGGGTGGTTCTTCCGTACTGGACGTGGTGGGTGTAGGCTCGGGCTCACCGAAGGCATCGACGCAGTAGGACCGCTCAGTCTGGATTCCCGCACAGGCGGCACCGATGGATGGGTTCTGCAAACAACACCAAAAAGCGGGAGTCAGTTCTCTTGTTCCATGGGCCATGGGCGACGGGCCTCTTGAAGAATGGGAAGCAAGATGAGACTCCGGCTGGTGCATATGCATACCCATCGCCTGAACTCCTCGATAGTGATCCAGTTGATGTACAGAATATCATCGCAGCTCTGGGTACCCTCGTAGTTCACCCACCACATGCAATAGGGCGACGTGTTGGGATCATACGAGAACCGGGGCGCCGGGCTACGAGCCACAACACATGTTGCCGCGGCTGCTAGAAGCAGAGCCTTGGTGATAAGACGAGTCATGGTGGATTCGACGACGACGACGACAAGCGGTCAAACTTGCGGCTGAGACTCGGATCGAGAGATTGTTTCGGTTTGGGCGGGCGATCACAGACTCAGTCATCCTGGGCATCTGAAAGTTACAACAGTTGGCTGGCTGCTCATATACTAGGTACACTGCGGGCCCAGGCGCATGTCAGTGGCAGGCAACCCCAAGGTCATTGGTTCCATGGAGGTGAAGGTTGTTCAACCGCCTTCGACGCTCTCCTCTCCCAAACGATCCCTCCCACACGCAGGCGGCACGCACGACGGGTCTCCGAGGCACGCCCGTTCAGTTCACATTTTGCATCGACTCACGGGCCTCACTCTGCAGCTGGGAAAGACTTGGTTCTGTGAGGACTCGGCTTAGCCGAATGCGACGGCAGATGCGGTTGCGTAGTCAGGCCACGGCTTAATTCCTATTCGGCTGGAAGGTGAACTCGTGCACCAACCGACACAGGGATTCGGTGCAGCTTTCGGCTTGGCTAATTTTTCGGCGCCTCGTGGTGACAGAACGGACGAACTACGACAGGTCGCTGCATTAGACTATTATCTCGGCGTTGCAAAATACGCCAAAAAAAAAGGAACACAGTGCCGACAACGCATATAATCCATGTCCGACTTCTGCCAAGTCGTCCAGGCATTTCTGCGAGAATCCTCGCGAAGACTAGAATCTGGGTAGCTCTTATCGCCTGCAGCATGCCATGCAGGCACATGGAGAAGATAGGTTCGGGGAAGACGGAGTCGCATTCGGCATTCCCTTGTTCCAGTGTCACTACTGTCCGTCGAGTGGATCTTCGTAGAAGCTGCCCCTTTCCCTATACGTTGTACGCGTGCCGCCTCCCCACTTCTTCTCCCTTTTCTCCCTTTTCTCCCCTTAGTGTTCTCTCTTTCTTTCGGGCCCCGCATATCTCACTTTTTTTGCAGGCCTAATAGTGGTCGAGACGGATGGGACCGCCGTCCTCTACTGAGGTGTACCGCTGCTGCTAGCTGTGCTTGGCAATTGTGTGAGCGGCGCATATGTGGTCGTCACGTCGGGCACCTCGGTCCCGTTCACGGGAGCAACGCTTTAAGAAAATGAAGAAGAAAAGAGTCAGACGACGTTGGACGTTTCCCGGTACACAGCGCTCAGGCTTACCAGTATGATCGGCCGACGGCCAAATTGGTACACTCGCTGTCGATGGTCGGGTTCATGTCTGCGCCCCCCCCTCGTGTTTAGCAGACTTCACTCTCTACTCTGCTCCTCGCGAGGGCACCACGCGGGAAGTCTTACTCCTAAGGTTGTGAACGGTCACCCCGTACCGCAGGGATAGCTGGGCGCACGTGTCGGTCTCGGTGATGATGTGGAACAAGCCGCAGTTACGAATGGTTTGCGGACGCGGACGAGCCGTGGGATCCGGGGTTCTTTTCAACGGAATTGAATACTTAATCAGATCATCTCTTGTTCCTGGAAAAGATATTCAAGGTATGAAGCTGAGGGAGAAGAAGAACGGAATGAAAGACTCACGCGGTTGTGGTGAAAACAGTCGACGTCGCGACCCTAGTCGTCGTCGGCGTGAACCTGCCCCTATACGGGCCGAGGCAGACCGTGTCGTGCTTCAGGAGCATGCTTGACCGGTGAAGACACTTGTTCCACTCGAGGAACTGCCACATAGAGACGTTTTCGAGCTCCTTCTCCACAAAGTCCTGCACGCTCGTGATCCCGTCGACGATAGCGGTCTCGCAGGTCAGGGGCAGGCAGAGGCGTGCACCTCGAAGGGACTCCGGCCTGTAGTACCTGGTTGGGTTAAAGCTGCGGATGCACGCTATCGGAAGTGATGCCTTTTGCGCGAACTCCTAGATCATATCCTCGCTATCGCCGGGAATGGTAGCCGTACTGGGGCACAGGTCCCAGTCGATGCCCGGCCCCTTATCTCCAGGGCTTTTTTACGGAGGATGCAAGATTAGCATAGATCCGTGGATCTCCGTGTCGACCCCGACCGAGGTAGGATATGATAGATATATCGAGAAGCTCTTAACTGACTTACAGCTCAATTTCGGTGAGGTTCTGGAACGGAATAATCACGGCATCTTCTCCGCGAAGGTCGCAATTGCGGACCATATTGGCCCAAGTCTGTTCGGTCCAGGCGCTGTCAAGGAGGAGGAAGAAGAGGGGGTCAGCTTGACTTGACGTCTGGTCTTTGGGAGCCGGCAGTCGGATCAATTGGAATGGATGAGGTGCGTCGTTGCATAAGAACTCACTCCCATCGCATATGCGACCACTGGTTTTCCTGCCCCATGGCAAATGTTTTCCTGCGATAGTGCCTCGCTTCAGCATGTCTTGGATCTACTGTCGAGCAAAACAAACAAAACGCATGGGGTCGGATTACATGGGCCTCACTCACCAGAAGCAGCGGTTGCACTGAATCTCAAGGGGATATTCGTCCCAATCCAGCGCTTGGGAGCTGCCGAGACTGTGCCGCTTGGCTCCCTCAAGAACGCCGCTGCGGTCCCGGAAGTAATCCTCGGCGGCATAGTCCCCCTCTGGGAACATCCACTCCGGAATGTCGTCGACCTCATGGTATGCGAACTCGTCTTCCGGGAAACACTCGCCCGTTTCCTCGTCGATCCAGCACTTAAACGTGTGTTCTGGCCAGGTGAGATCGCCGTCGTCCCCGGAGATGTCCCATCTCGAGCACGAGTGCGTCAGCCGTCAAACATTTCCCAGAGTGATAGGTAGCAATAGCTTACCCGGCCATGGCCTCCTGGCAGAAGCGCCCTCCAGAGCTCTCCTCCCGTAAGCACAGCATATCCGATCGGTGCTTGACAAACTCCCCAAACTCGGCGAAGGAGATGTTGCCGATCTGCAGGCTCAGGATGTCTTCGCTGCATCTTAATGCCAGTCGGTCGGCAACATCAGAGATATCAGTCTGGCAGTTCGACTCGCAAAACGCATCAAGTTTCGCCGTAGTGAGGTCTGGTTCCCAACCGCCAATGTTAGCCCCCTCGTTTCTAAGAGACTCCAATGTTGCCTCGAGATAGCAGCCTCTCGGATTTCACCCACTCAAGGCATAGTCGGGAAACGTCAGGCTTTGCACCATGGGCGGGCATCTGAGCTGCGTGTTCAGGGCAGCAGCACAGGGTCGGCTAATCTCGATGGTCCTGAAGAGCTGGGCCTGGTGGCTACCGAAGAGGCTCACCTGGGCCACGGCGGGACTCCAGAGTGCCAAAAGCGCCGACATGAAAAGAACGGTCGTTCGGGGCATGTTGTCGAGTCGAGACTGAGGAAGTCTGGCGTCCATGTCAATGTCAATGTCAAATGTCAAGGTCAAGGTCAAGGTCAATGTACGTGGATGGAACGCGGTGCCGACGGGAGGGGGTGAAGAGAATCGCGCCCGTATGGCCTTGGAGGGCTACAAGTACATGTAAGCCTCGAAGAGGGAGGAAAAAGAACGTGGCAAGGTCTTGCCGTCGAATCCCAATCGCATCGCCCAGGCTCGCCGCTCGTCCGACAATATTGGGCGAAGTGGTTGGCTTGTTCTCCTCCGTGCAGACATGCACGGGCGCACGGCAGCAACACCGTCGATGTGGTGACCGGGGCGGGGCAACGAACCGCCCACGCAGCACTTTACGTACATAGCTCCGCAGCCAAGCCTGCGGGTGGGATGCGGGTCTCTCGAGGAGTTTAGCGAGCACTTTGCTTCCCCTGACATGGGAAGGCCCAGCCTCTCAGGGGGGAACCCTGGGCTCACAGACCGATGGACCAGGAGGAATCGCTTACGAGGTATGGACAAGATGGGCAGGCCAGGCCGCCCTTCCGCTGAACCCGTCCTGGCCTGATAAGTAGTAGGTAGTTCGGACTTCGAACTTGCGGGATGCACACCTCTGACCTGCCAGTCTCTGCTCGCACGCCGCGTGTGGACTATGACTCTGACCCGGGCTTCTTCATTCTCGAGTCTCGTTTTCTTCATCTACCATCATGAAAGTGCCACGCGCCCTCAGTCTGCGTGTTCTGGGGCCTCTGGCCACTCTCGCCGGCATACTCGGCAATGCTCAGGCGCGGAGTCGGACGATTGACTCCATACAGCTCTCTCACGTCTTTCAACAAGCCGGAGGGTGCTCGGCGTCTAACCCTTGCGAGCAGGGTTGTTGTGGCCAGTTTGGCTGGTGCGGTTTCGGCCCTGACTTTTGCGGAGATGGCTGCCAGGGCACATGCGATGCCGTGGCGGAATGTGGACGTATGAGAATGACACGGACGCTCCTATATTCCTTGCCGACCATGTCTGCTTCATGGAATGGATGATGGACAGCCGGCTGACGCGATACTTTTCGTGCAGAATATGCGCTTCCCGAAAACGAGTTTTGTCCGCTGAACATTTGCTGCAGCGGCGACGGATTCTGCGGTGAGTTACATGCCACCCTGCCCTCGCTGCCCAGGCCCCCTTACCCCCTTAACCCCTTACCAATGACAGACTTTCTTACCTTGTACAGGAACTACGACTCTATTCTGTGACGATGGGTGCCAGAACAACTGCGGCAGGCCGAGTCGACCGTGAGTACAGAGTAACCGACATAGCCTTGGAAAGAAAGAGAAAAAGGTGGGGAACAGTGCACGCTGACAATGGCATGGACCTTGCCAGATCCTGCGGCGCGAGCTCGGGAACGAGCAACATAAGGACCATCGGCTATTACGAGAGCTGGGCTCTGAACAGGCCAGGCTGCGAATGGCAACCCGAAGACATCGACGTGCAGCTGCTAACGCACGTCTACTACGCCTTTGCCCTAGTAGGAGACGACTATCGGGTTGCGGCCATGAACCCATTCGACCAGGGCTTATACACCAGAACTATCAACCTCAAGTCACAGAACCCAAGTCTTAAGGTCTCTATTGCCGTAGGCGGCTGGGCTGCTAGCGGCCCGCCCTTTTCTAACATGGCCCGGACCCAAGAGAGACGCGCCGTATTCATCCAGTCCGTGATTGATCTGCTGGATACTTACGGGTTCGATGGAATCGATCTCGACTGGGAGTACCCCGTATCCGAGGATCGTGATGGGGCGCCCGAGGACCGGGAAAACTACGTGCATCTTGTCCGGGAACTCCGAACGGCTCTGCCTGCGCATAAAGAGATTACTGTGGCCATTCCCGCCTCCAACTGTAGGCTGCCTCTCGGCCTTGGGGACAAGTGTTATGTGATGAGCAAGAAGAACTGACGCCGTGGATAGGGTATCTTAGGCATTTTGACGTGGAGGCCATGGCGCCTCATATCGACTGGGTAAGTTCTGCAGCTGAGCGGCGAAGAAAAGCAGAGAGTTGGGAGTCTTCTTCTTCTTTGTCTTTTTTCTCTCTTTTTTTTTTTCTTCCGGAACTGATCGCCTTTCAACTTCCTACAGTTCAACATCATGAGCTATGATATCCACGGCACGTGGGACGGCAACAGCCAGTGGTCGGAACCCGTTGTCCAGCCACACACGAACCTCAGTGGTAAGAAGACCTAAGACCTGACCTCCTCCCGAGAGACGCAGTCTGTGCGCCACGAATTCCTGACATGAGCATCGGCACATATATAGAAATTGACGATGGTCTGGATCTTCTATGGAGAAACAACATCAAGCCGAGTCAGGTTGTGCTTGGCTTGGGATTCTACGGGAGGTCCTTCACACTCAAGGACCCCAGCTGCACGGAGCCCATGTGCCCCTTTTCAGGCGGAGCTGAGGCCGGCTACTGCATGGACACGGCAGGTGTCCTCTCCAATGCCGAGATTCGTCGTGTCCTCGACCGGACTGGCGTCACGCCGATCCTCGACCGAGAGGCTGGCATCAAATACATTAGTTGGGAGGGCCAATGGTGAGCCCATTTTACAGCGGACCTTTTCTTTTCTTTGGTTTTCTTTTCCTCTCCACTCCTTTACTGACGGCACCCGGGGCTCGTTAGGGTTTCCTACGACGATGGCGAGACTCTAGCCTTGAAGACACAGTGTTTGCTAATAACAGATGCCTGGCTGGCAAGATGATCTGGGCCGTCGACCTTGATGAACCCGGCTCTCCGACCCTCAAGGCTCTAGCCTCCGGCTCAAGCGGAGACGGAGGCATCGGCGGTCTTCCTAGAGAAATTTTTGGAGACCTTTCCCTCAACGCGGCACTCCGAGTAGACCGAGACCTCAGAGCGCAAAACGAGGCCCCTGCGGTGCGTCTACGGTCTTACCACGCAACGCAACAGCCAAACTCGAAACTAACTAACCCTTTGAACGTCTAGACCCTGATCCTCACCGACTGTGGCGAGGAATGCCCCGTGGGGTGGCATGCCATAACCAAAGCATCTGGCGTGGTAAGTTTTGGAGTTGCCCTCCTCTCTTCTCTCTCCTCAGACCTCAAACTGAGACGTAACTCTATAGTGGGCTGGAGCGGGAAAAGACGTCGAAGAGTGCAAGCTTAATCGAGGTCCCAACGCGATCCACAACAGGGACGTAGGCAGGGGCAAGCGGGCTCTATGCGCACCGAACAAGATGGAGGTAGGAGGCTGCTCCTGGGTTGGACAGCCGCTCTTCTGCAGTCCTCCACGCGTTTCCACAATCCTGAATCCTGGTTTTGGGGGTTGTCCCAAGGGCTCCATTCACCTCGCAAATAACAACATGCCACCGAGCAGCGACGACAATGATAACCCCAAGGAATGCTTCCCCGGCACCTACTCTGCCTTTGTAAGTCTTGGTCCCCCTTCCCCCCCCTTCCCGCCAGCGGGCCCCGATCTTTTCGAGACAACGGCAACGAGTACTAACCACGGTATGTCGGGCCGTCACGTCACAGTGCTGCAACAGCGTGGAGGTCAAACTCGAGAGAAGATGGTGCGACGAGTTTGACTATGGAAGCTTGGCAATGGCTGGAGGCGTCGCGGGCGCCCTGGCAATCCGAGCTGTCAACGACAAAATCCACCGGATGGCAGAGGCCTTTGGACTTCCCCGCCGGCAGACATGGGACCCTATGTTGCCTGGCATACGGGACGGCTTTAACGGCTGCCACTTCTTTCGGGGTGGCGATATAGAGGACCTCATCAGGTTAGGGTACACCCCTTATAATCTTCCTCCTGGCAGTACCTTTGAATGGCCCGAGGACCTGGACGAGGACGAGGACGAAGAATGCACCATGACCATCACCACATCGACGACGTCGTGGTCTACAACAATCACGACAAGAACCTGCAACGTTCAATCATGGCCCCAGGCCTGCCATAACTACGTCTCGGTCGCCAAGCACTGGATGAGGCATGGTCACAACCCAGCACTGCACAGCGATCACCTGCTGTGTCCATGGGTGCGAGAAACTAGGGGAAGATCCGCTCCTCTTACGTGGAACGACCAGCATGAGCCCTGGAGGACGTGGCTCCCCTGACCTGGGGGCTCGATGTGCCAACGAGACGAGTATCCGTTCTACCGGTTCATGGGTGCTCCGAATCCTCCAACGCAATACATCAGGGTGTACGTGTTTCTTTTAGCATTGACAGGGGACCTGACAGTGACGCTGATGCTGAATGACAGGATACCAATGAGCGAGAACGGCGGCGCAGGCCAGGCCCTTGCCAGGAACGTCTGCCCCAACACCGTAGCGCGGAGAACCACCGTCGAGACGACGTCGGGCGGCAGCCGCACGTGTTATGTGTATACCAAGACTATCATGACGCAGGTCGTCCTCAGCATAGCACACTCGAGCTGGGACCCCGACTGGGAGGCCACCGCCATCTGGGACGACCACCTGCGCCAGAACCCGTGCCTGCCTAGCCTTCATCACTTCGACGACCCCGGTTTCGCCCTGCTCACCAACGATCCTTGGTACCAGACAGGTTCCGGCACGACCATGAATTCCGCCCGATACCAGGTTGCCCCTCCCCATTCCGTGACCCAGGGACTGACGCCACTGCGCCGGGCGTTGGACGACGTGGAGATCTACTTCTCCGACGAAGACGGCTTCGGCATCGTCCAAGACCGCAACCAGTCGCGGCGAGCAACCCCGGAGGAGCTCCGGGAGCATCTGGGCATCTTGCCCTGCCTCTCGCCGGACTGCATCGAGGAAAAGGCGGCCCTGGGCCTCGACGTGCACGGAAACCCGACGCTCGTGTCTCCGGAGGCCACGGCGACGGCGGTGGATCCCCTGGTGGAGGAGAAAAGTCTCCCTGCTGTGACCGGCGGAGGCGTCCAAGAACCGAGCTTGTCAACGGCGACCTCGGCCCCGTAGGCTTGCATTACCTGGGGCAGGCGGTATAACGTTAGAGCAGTAGTTGTACTGTGGTATCAACCCGTCTGTTTGAACTCTATAGGTAGACAACCAATATATATATAAAAGAGAATGAATTCATGGCTTCGATATGAACCATATTGATTGGTTACCCCCTCCCAATGCTATGCCGGCGGATCCAGCGTAACGTCTGGGATGAGGTCGGGGTCCTCCCGCCACCGAGCGAGGACCTCGTCTCTATCCCGACCGAACTTATGTGAATCAAAAGACTTCTCGTAACGCTCCTCCACGACGTAGGCAGCGCGGTAAATCTGCTCCGAGTCCCGAGCCCAATCTTCCTCGCGAAACGCTGCCGGCCAGCCGTACTTTCGCAGGGCTTTGCCAATCACCTGACCATTGATGTCCTATTGGTGGTGGTGGGTTGTTGAGTATGGTACGCATACGTGGCATCAAAAGAAAGAGGGGGGGGGGGGGGGGGGGGGGGGGGAGAAGCTGCGTTGTGTAGGTAGGTTATTTGGTACTTACGGACGAAAAGCTCCAGGAGGCCCCGTTGACGGAGTCTGGGACCATCTCGAGACTGAGGAGGACCTGAACCCACCCTCTCAGGACGGTCGGCGCGTGGTACGTTGGCCAGTTTCTATAGTGATCCGGGTTATCAGGCCTCTCGACAGGGAAATCGGCCGGGATACCGTCTAAGCCTCTCTCGGGTACTTCCGCCGGACAACCGCGGATAAATCGGAAGGCGTCTGGCGGGGACGGCTTGGTTAGGACAGGTCCGAATGCCTTTAGAAGCAGCAATATAGAATATATATATATATATCCACCAAAGCGACAGACAAAAAAAGAAAAAGAGAAAGGGGCTAGGGGGTGGGGAGGGGGGGAGAGGGGCGCGGCGGGGTGGGCCGAGCGGGCCTAGACGTACTATACTTGAGGTCCAGGATCCAAGCAATGCCATGGCTCTCATCAGGAAGAGCAAGGGTGATATCCTGTGGCAGCAGGTAGCTGCGGCCGTTTATGCTGCTGGCCTGGGGAGAGAATTGAGCCATGTCGAGCGGGTCGCGACAGTCCTTAATGTCGGACTCGTCCAGGTAGTTCATGGCGTCGGCTTCGAAGTAGATGCACATGCGTCGGTAGCTCCTGTTTCGGGGATAGGGTAGCCGCTCGACGAGGGAGACGGCTTCGGAGCTCATCCCCATCTCGACGAGGAGACGTTGACGATCCAGATTCGCGTGCCTCCCCGTGTCTGCCGACGGAAACACCACGTCCTCGCGTCTCCAGAAGTTGAGCTTGAACACCAAAGCGTACATCTCGTACCAGAGCGAGACGAACTCGTCCTCTCGAAAGGCCGCCGGAGAACCTGGGGCAGGTTCCGTCCAAACCAGCGGTGCCCATTGCCATGGCCACACCGTCATTTTTTTTTTCTTTTCCTTTTTTTTATCCCTTTGGACGCAAAATTTCAGTTTGGGCTTGTCAGTAGGCGCAAGTTCCGCACGATGCTGTTAACGGTATTGTATTTGTCGAGATTTGAATTGAAGTTCTCGGCGCGTGCTCACGTCGCAACCTGTCGCACGATAAACAAGCACAAAACCAGGGTCTATTTAGGGGGCAGCAGTTATTCCGTTAATTATATAAATCTAGGATATCTCCTTATCGGTTAAGGGATTTATCTTACTACTATGGCTTTCCCTGATCACGTGCCTTTAGTTAGTTCCTACTAAACCTATTTAGGCATACTCCTCTAATCCCTTTCTATTAGTTATGCCGAGGTACGGTAACTTATAGGGGGGACTATAACAACTTAGTAATAACGAACGTCTATATATACGCCGATTATATAGTTAGTAGTATAGTATACTATAATTTATTATATTATAATAAATAGCCATTTAATAAATTTATATAGAATTCTTAGATATATAACGCGTATAAAAAGAATGTTTATTAAACTATCTTATAATCCTAGTTAACACTAATTAAAAGCAAATATCTCTAAATAATCTAAAACGATAACGCGTGATGTTTTCTCTTTATATTCAGTCTTAAACTATAAGCAGCTAGTCATAAGTTATGCACTAAGTAAGGCCGAATAATTGAATTATCTAAAGCTAAAGAGAAAAGAGGAAAATAGGAGAACTCTATAAAGGGCGCGCGACCCTTATATAAACCCCCGAACCCATAAGTAGGGTCGCTTAGAGTGGCTAGGGTCGCGAGTAGTTAGCTAACAGATCCGTTATTCTACTGTTACGACGGCTTCCGGTCCTCTAAAGTATAGCGGACGATAGGGGACTAGCGTCGAGGTTTTAGTTTAAAATAAGAAGAGGATATTAACTAAAGAGTAGTAACTATCGTTCGTAGTGTCTAGTCGTAGTTACGTCGTAAAGACTAGGCGTCTTCTTTATAAGGTAGAGTCAAGCGTAGACTAATAGTCCAGGTGAAGACTTAGATTAATCGATATCTTATTCCCTAGTAGAAGTAAGACCTAGGATACTCTAGTTTATATACTAGTGGTGCTTACCCGCCCCGGGTAAGCGTCCCCTGCGTGGTCACTAAGTCCTAGTAATTACTCCTCCAGTAATTATTTTATAGTAGTGAGTATCTAATCGGTGCGTACCGTATACCTAGTGCCGGTGTGCTAGTGTACGATTACGTGCTAGAGCACGTGATTCCTCTTCCTGAGTCACTTTCTGGTTACGTCCTGATACGCCGATCTTTAGTACGTTATATACTAGTATATCCTTCGTGTTAGTATATATTAGGCCTGTTAGCCGTAATATTACCTCCCCTCTTCTAAGCGCTGTCCTAGCGGTCGTATAAGTAGGTCGCCTTTCCTAAGTTTATTATTTTCCTGTTTTCTCTTCTTTCCTTATAGCTGACTATTATGTCCGACCGTGTGTAGAAGCGTTCTGCTAAACCCGCCGATCCCCCGTCCCGTTCTACTCTTAATCGCTAAATAAAATCTGCGTTAATTAACGACCAGGGTTTCGAGGCTATTCCCTACACCCGCTGCTTTAACCGTAGCCTTAGCTATATAATTCTCGACAATCTTAATCGTTATTCGTGTTACTATCGTGTAGCTTATTCTTACGATTCCTCCCGAATCCCGATATCTTCTGGTGACTGGCCTCCTTCCTTCGTTCTGACCGTCCCTTCCTAACCACCACTTCTTTAGCGCGCCGAGTTAACGCGGAGCTTAAACGGTTTGAAGAGGAGGAGGAGCGCGCCGAGGAGTTATTAATCGAGTAATAATAAAAGGCGGCTAAAGCCCTAGCAAAGCTCTCCCGTCTTCGTCGTACACGGAGATAGCTCCGTAAAAAGGGGGTTAAGATAGTTCGTAGGGACCTCGTAAATATAGAGGAACTAGAGGAGGTAGAACGGAAAGAAGCCGAGGTCCGTCGCGCGGAGTCCGAGGCTATATTAGCTATCTAGGCCGCTAGCGTGGTCGATATAGTTAACTAGAATTAAATTATAGCGTAGGATATAGGTGAATTTTCGGATATTAATTTTATATAGACCGCGGCGTCTGGTTCTGGGTCCTGATAGTGTTCTGTCGGTATTGCTTTAGGAGTTGTTTATAATTAATCAGGTTATCTTTTAGTTCCTATATATTATCGCCGTGATCGTAGTTTTTCTATTTTATAAAATATTCGGTGCTGTCTAGTGTCTCTTGGTAGTTGAGGATTTGTTCTGCTTTATATATATCGCTAGTATCGACCACGATCGTGTCTTATATTATTTTTACGTTTTTCGGTGCTAGTTTAAGTAGTGAAATATAGAAATTATTATATATCCTTATTATCGGAGGTAGTAATAGAATATAGTTCGTATCTGACTTTTTCTCTAGGATTTTAAACGGTCCTAATTTTTTAAAATCCAATTTATCGCTTAGTCGTTGTGTCTTGATATTTTTGCGAATAAGGTAGACGTGGTCCCCCCTTAAAAGGGTTAGTCCCTTAATCCTTAATTAATTCGCGTACCTGCTTATTCGTGTTCTGACTATCTCTAGGTCGGTTCGTAGTTCTTCGTGTAGTTTTTTCATGTTTTTAACTGTTTTTATCGCTCTTAGTGCATCTAGCCCTTCTAAAGGTTTTCTAAATACTATCAGTGTATATCCGTAATTTGCTTTAAACGGTGTTTTCTTTATTAACTCGTTTAATAAGCTATTATACGTAAACTATGCAAGTGGCAGGTATTATACCTAATTATCTTATTTATACCCTACGTAGTATCGTAGGTACTATTCTAGGACTTAGTTTATAATTTCGGTTTATCCGTCTGTTATAGGGTGAAACGCTATCGAATACTTATATTTCGTTCCTAGCTGGCTTATGACTGCTTTCCAGAAGTTACTGGTAAAGAGCTTGTCTCTGTCTATGATGATTTCGTTCGGTGCGCCGTGATCCCTGATTAGGCGGTCGATAAAGATACTTACTAGTTCTTCTGCTATAGTGTTTTTAATATATAGAATGTAAAGAGTGTATTTCGTGAATCGGTCGATAATCACGAATATACTATCGTAGGCGATTCCTGTTACTGGATCTTTAGATACTGGAAATCCTGTCACGAAGTCTATTATAATTAACTTCTATAGTCCGTCTACTACTAGTAGTGGTTTTAGTAGTCCGTAAGGTTTATATCGGCTGCTTTTTGCTTTCTAGTAAATATCGTAGTTACGAACGAAGTCCCTGACTCGTTCTTTAGTTCCTGTGTAGCCGTATTATTATCGTAATCGGTGGTATATTTTATAAACTCCTTAATATCTATGCATCGGCGAGGCGTGTGCTTCTTTAAATATAATATCGGTTATCCGATTAATACTATTTACCTCTTTATTCTTCAGGGTAAGAGCTTCTCCTTCCTATTAGAGTATAGCTTACGGTTTAGGTGGTTTATTAGGTGTTCCTAGTCGGCTAAGTACGTCTGCGCGACTATTTTCGCTTCCTTTTATATACTAAATATAGAAGTTAAATTCGGCTAGGAATTCTGCCTATCGGATTTATCGTTTATTAAGAACCTTAGTAGTGGTGAATTACGCGAGGTTCTTATAATCCGTGTAGACTTATACCGGGTATCTTATCCCTAACAGATACGGTCTCTATTCTTTAA